AGATAACTTACCTGAAATACACTGAGTATTGATAAAACATGTGCTTGTATTTAATCTTGGCAGATACTAATTAGATTACATTTTTAGTTGTTGTTCTGTCAAATGAACGCTAATGCTTTTGGAGGATACATATTTTTCAGTTTGCTTGTATATCCTATATCTCTTCTTTCACCTTTCCCCTTCTGTAATCAAGATGACCAAGATATTTTCCTTTTGCAATGAAAGGCAGGAAAATCAACTGATTTCATCTTAACTCAAGACATTTGTATTGTTTATAGACTGGCCAGTGGAAATGGTGCAACTGTAATGATTCAAGTTATCTACCTTGTGACCTCCTGTAGAAGTAGAATTGTTGTTCATCTCAATTCTACTTTATTTACACCATAGCTGAAGTTGTGGCTCCACCTACCAAGAAGCAGCACAGGATGTGGAAGACATGAGATGAGGGTGGGGGGTGATCATAAAAACACCTTGGAAGCATGGTGGTTTATCAAGCAGAGTTAAGTATGCTGGGGCTAAAACCCAGCTCAACCCTGGGGCTAAAACCATTCAATTGAGAGCATGCATTCAAGTTCTTCTTTTGCACGTGGCTCCAAAGTATGAAATTCTGAAGTCCTCTGGTGTTGCTTTATGTTCAAAGGAGTGTGGTTTTACACTTTTACTAAGGCAGTCGAGTAGGTAGATGTACTTGATACCAAAGTTTCCATTCATTAGCTGCTCCTGCTTTTCTGCACTTTTCTGCACCTAATCCTGTGGTGAGCTGATTCAGAAGATGAAGCTAATAAGGAGATTACTGTTTCTGTGGTTTACCTCTGTGTATTGGCTCATAATCATGCCAGATGATAATGCAGGTATAATGGAGAAGGCTAGAATGAGAAAAGAGGCAAAAGGAGTAAGACTGGCAGCAGTTACTGTTAAATCACTGTAATTGTAAGAAAGGAGAGGAGCATATGAAAAACCCTGTGTAGTGTAAAGTGTTAACTATAAACACCAATTTTCTCATAGTTTTCAGTTCTTTGAAAGCAAAGATGGAACACAATTTTTGAAGTGGTCATTGTTCTCTCACAGCTTTCAGCTTATGAATGTTATGGGAAAGAGAAGAAATATTGCTTAATTAGTGGAAGAAGTTTTGAGAATGGAAACAATAAGAATCTTTTTGCCAAGACCTCAGTAGTGCATTCTGGGAAAGAGGAGCGTAAAAACCCAAATCTATCACATTAGCAAGAAACTTGCATTCTATTGTTTAAGTTTTTATTTCTGAATACTGACTTATAGGATACCCTCTTTTACCACTGGGCCAAAACTTAAACACATCATTAATTGATCTTAGGCCACTCCAGCTTTTAAAAAAGCCTACTGCTTTGGAAATTGAAAGCTTTAAAATGATAGCTATTGTTTGTTAAGAAGTTTCAACTTACTACACCATGAAACAAAGCAGATGGCACAACTTTTTCATCATACATTTAGGCTGATGTAAAGGAAGCTTGTGAGGATAATTGGCACATGAAATTCATGGAAACTGAACTATTGTCTTGTTGGATGATTGTACTAATACACTTTACCTTGTATCTTAAGCCTTGAGTTAAGAGCACTGAAATAAGCTCTTATGACCAGACCTAGTTAGTAAGGAGCTTTTGACAAGTAAATATTCTCTTGCTGTTGAGGTCCTGGGATGTTTTATAATGGGAGATGCATTTTGCAGAACAGAAGAAGGATTTTTTTTTTTTTTTGTTCTCTTTGTATGTCAGGAAGTCTTGATTGTAAGACTGCTTCAGTTCTTCATCTTTCATATGACTGCAGTGTTTCACTGTTTCTGTCTATGCAGATGCATTACTATGATCAGTAACGCTTGAGTTTCCATACTTCAGTCTTTCCAGCATTAAAGTAAATTACAGTCTTCAGTAATCAAGGCTGTGAATAGTAGAAATCTTCCTTCCAGGTACTACGTTCTTACTCAGAAAGTCAAAACTGATTTAAAGAATATATTTCGAAATGGAAATTTCCCAGTAGGATAAACCCGTACCTGTTTCTCTTTAGAAGATATTTGCCCCATTCAAGAGATCAGGAACTTACCTTGGCTCTTAGTGCAGTCATTTTAGTTTTATCCCTAGATTATTTGCTAAAATCGAGGGGTCTTACCCCTTTATTTTACATTTATCTTTATATAATGTGACCTCTCTGGCCCTTACTTTACTAATGGTCAGAGCTTTTCTCTTCCAACATGTACCGAAAGTGTCGAGACTATGTATTTACTTGTACGTCTTCTGAAATTCCGTTATCCTTCAAGTTTGCACATTATACTTAAGAATCTGGTCCAGAAGATCAAGAAAGACTTAATCCCTCAGTGTAGGCAGTGCTTATGGAAAATCAGATTTGTTCACATTGGGCTCAATTTTCTGATCACTGAGGTTAACTTTTCAGTTTAATTAAGAAGGGTAATGCTGCTCTTCACAAAAGAGTTTAGATGCTGTTGAGAAGTTAGGATATCAACTCCATACATTAATCCTATTAGCAGTCCAAGATTGCCTCAGGAGAGAGATACAATCTGCTTGTATGAGATGTGTATCAGTAAATAACATTGAGACAGAAGAACATAGCTGTTACAAAATTAACATAAAGCAACACAAGGTTCCTTGTGGCAAAATTTGTCTAATCTTAATGAAATGATGTGACTCCCTTTTCTCTTCCATCTGCTGCTCCTTCCTGACTGGAGTTAACTTCTCGTTAACTTTTCGTTGCACAAAAGCCCTTTAGAAATCTCATAAATGAGGTGTCACATCTGAGTTGGGTATGTCAGCCTTCAGGGCTGTATCCAAGCAGAAGAGAGAGTTCTTTGAGTGGAGACGCTAAAATTGTTCTTTGGTCAGGTTTGCGAAGGTTGGATTGCAGAAGATAATGCATTGGTTTGGATAGACAGTAAGATCCCTTTTTCTGTCCTATCTGCTAGTTCATAGTTACTTGTGAGCATGCTTAGAACTCTGTTCAAACATGACTACCCTTTCATTATTTATCTCTCTTTTTATAAGCTTTTTATTAATTCCATGACCAACAGTGTCCAAAGAAACTTCATCGCTGTGGAGACCTTAGCCTGTTCTTGTGGCTGATACTGTAGGATTGGGCAAAGGAGAAAAATGCCATCTAATCCAGGCATGTGCATATAACCAAGCTTAATTTTTTGGTCAGTGATACAGCCTATAGTTTCCCATTATGATGAACATATTTATTAAACAGTGAACATCTGATCTCATAAATAAGACTTAATTTTCTGCATATATTCTTGTTAGCAGTATGATCTGTCTCCAGTGAATTCATGATGCAGTTATCTGAAACTGCTTCACAAAGGCTTACTGTAACGTTCACCACTAGTTGAACTAGCAGGAGACCAGCTCCTTTCTTTCTAGAACTTACTTTTTAGTAAGCACAACTTTGTATGGACCAATAAAAGACTGATTGTTCTAACAGTTGGGTTTTATTGAGGACTGTTTGTACTGGGAGTATTCTCTTCTGCTGTGATGCAAATTTTCCTTTGTAGTAGTTCATTTCTTAGGCTACTCAGTATTCACAACTGTCTGTCTCTCTTAAATGATCTTCTTCATCCCCAAGAAAAGCTTTAAAATATTTTCTTTTGTCTGCTCTTGAACAGCCTATTCTCTAACTGAAGAATCTAATTTAGAAAACAAGGCCATGTGAGGGCAAGGAGTAGTGCTGGAGATCTATTTAAATATGTGAAGAGTCTTTGCTTCCAGGCAATTAATCTTTAGAGAAAGAGCAATAGAATATTTCAGTAATTATTTTAACAGTAAAGATCTGCGATGATGTGAGCCAGTAATGTCTTTTAATATGGTAACTCCTAAACTACTAATTGGCCAAGCCCCATCTCTTCCTATACTTTGAGCCAGATGACTGGGAATGGAAAAAACACTCGTGATTTGGGATACAAAGTAGGTTTTTCCATTGTTTTTAAGTTCAGAATGCTTTGGAGTTAAGAATATGGTAAAAAGCAGCAATAAAATGTAGGGAAAGCTACTTTTGCCATTATGTTATAGCTGAAAAATAAGTTTTGGGAGATCTGTGTTCAAAGTTGTTTCAAAAGGCTGTAGCTTGCTTTCCAACTTCCTCGACCTACAAAATAATTGGTCACTTGAGACCTGAGGGTGTTTTCAGACTTCAGTAATTCCTATCAACCCCGAAATCTGTGCTCGTGTCTTTGCTTGTTATCTATTAAGTGCTCCAGTCATACTGTGTTTTAACTTTACCTGTATGTCTGATTATGATGCATCTGAAATTCCTGCTGATCTGACTGGAAGGAGAAGAAGGAATAGTAATCAGTCATACCAGTTCCATTACAGTATCTTTTCCGTAATCCTGCATCCATCTTGCATCCCCTGAAGAATTATCAGATTTCAGGTGGGAAGTGAGGGGAACAGAACTCCTCATGAGCAGTGGAGTGCATGACTGGTGAACATAAATGAGTCTTAACTGGCAGACCGTCTCCTTGTTTCTTGGTAGGTGGAGCCCTAACTTTGCTGTTGCTGGGTAGAATGGGAGAAGACTGTAACAATTACAGTGAGTAACTTAGAAATAAGTACAATCCAGAACCTTGTTCAGAGGACTGAACTGCCATGACACCTAAAATTCTAGCCCTTCTGTAGCTTAGTGTTGGTGTTCTTGTTCTGTTTTTTTCCCAGCCTTAGTTCCCCTCTTTTAATTTGAATTTGGTAGAGATATAACTTTGGCTTTAGATTGGGCTGACTGGGACCTGTGATTGCCATAGACCTGTTGACATTGTCTCCTTAATATAGGTTCAATTAAACTTTTGCTAGATGTGTAAAATAAACATTGTGCTGGCTTGTATTTTACTTTTTTACCATTGAAAAAAATAATTATATTTTACAGTATTCACATGAGTTGATATTTGGGTGCATTTTCACATGCATAGTCTGTATATACTGTACTTTCTGTAAAGTTGCTTTTCTTTTCCCCTTTTTCTCTGCCAAAAGGAATCAGATACACCACCTTGCACAGCTCCTAATGTTTACCAGTTCAGTCTTCAAGCACCGACTCAGCTTATGGCCAGTTTACCCCCCGCATTGCCTATGCCAAGTGGTAAACCCCAATCTGCACCTACGGGAACCTTGATAATGGCCGCCAGTAACCAGGTATGAGCCAACTAAACAGAGCAACTCTTTCCTGAGAAAGGGATCAAATCGGAAGTGTAGATCATTTGCGCTGTGCTGTCAGTCTAAAAACCTCTGAAGATAACCTTCATATAGCCTGTGCTATAACTGTAGAAGTACTTAGCTGCCATATCAGAAGTGGGGGGAGAAGAGTGGGTGGGAAAGGGTTCGGTGTTTGAGTTGCATCTCCGCATATAAGAGCCCTTCCACAACACAGACACATAGGAGTAAGTTAAAGAGCGAGTGTCAGGTGTCTTGAGTCTTGAAGTTGTATTTGAGAGTCCTGGTGCCCAGCTAGTGGGATATTTGCAGATCTTTAGGCTGTTTGAGTTCCTGTTCTTCGATTAGAAACTTCACGTAGATGGTATAACTGTAAGCTTGTTTTTGAATCCAAAGAAAAGTACTGACCTTTCCAGGCTTGTTTGGTTGTCTTGATTTTGAATTATTAGATCTGGTTACACTTGTAACTTTCTGTAATATGTTTTAAAGATAGAGAACAGAAAATTAATTATGGGCAAGTCTGCAAAAATTTTTACCAAAAAATAAAATGTGTACATAAATGTGCTGGGAGGTGAATGTATTTTGGCTAATATAGCCATTATAGTACAAGGGAAAGTAAAATCATCAGTTTGGTTTATTTTCTTTTTTTTTTAAATAGCCTTAGTGCTGCTTATTATCTGCCAGAAAACATTCCCCCAGTCTTGATTATTAAAACTATTAATATGCCTCACATGAAATTTAATGCAACTTGTGGGTTGTTGTAGGTTGCCTACGATAACAAAATAGCAAGCTGATTTCTTTGAAACCTAGTTTTGGTCGGGTTCTTACAATGTTTTCCTTCTTTTCTGAGTCCTTCTATCAGAGTTCTTGAGAATCTAGGGCCAGGATATTTTCAACTTAGTGACCTTGCCTTTTTTATTTGATTCAGCGCTTATTTATCTTCATGGACTTTCAGTGGAACACTTTCTGGTATGTCCATGTCTCTGTTCCTGGGGAGCCCAGACCTGGGCCCAACACTCCCATGTGTGGCCTCACCTGTGCTGAGTAGAGAGCAAATGATCACCTCACTTAACCTGCCTTTGGTTTTAATTGAAGTGATTACACGGATTCCTCCCCTCCTTCCTCCTTTCCCTGCTTTCTCCTACTGCTCAGTCTTACGTAGGCAAAACCAGCTTATCTGCACAGGAAATGTTCTGTTAACGAGAAGCTAATAAAACAATATACTGCTATTCTAGTGTCTGCAACTGAGTATTCATTTGTTAGTGTACACTCTGAAACTTTTGACTTTTTTTTAGAATAAAACTGGAGAGCTATTTTAAGTTAAACTTCATCTAAAATACAGACTTAGTCTAGATGGTTTTCCTTGACAGCTCTGCTTTTCTGAAGAGGTACTCTGGAGTTTAGCTTCAAAATCACAAAAAACAAAATCCAATTTGGAGGCATGCGGTTGTTAGTACAAAACAAGTTGGCATTCAGAGTGTTTGCCAGTTGTGAAGAGGCAACGTGTTGTATGAATTTTGGATCTCTGTTGAATCTTGGAAAACAACTGCTTTGTAGCACTTTTTCTGGCTTTCTGCTACTTGGCTGTCATTTCCAATGATTAACTGTTCTTCTAGTAGGTTATATAGTACTTACGTGTTTAAAAGTGGGAATTCTTCTGTGGCTTTTGCTTGACAAAGATGTGCCCTTGAAAATCACATTAAATCAGAAGAATTTCTTGCTATCTACAGTTCAGAAATGGGATGATGATTTCTTGCCTTGAATTCACCAAAAGCTTGTATTTTGTGAAGTAGAAATGTACTTTTTTGATAAAGATTATGACTGAGTCAGAAGTGGGAAACGAAGCCCTTCTACCCAGAATACTGCAAATGTCTTTTTTTCACCTGTACCTTCTGGACCATGACTGTTCTAGATTAGGTTGATGGCTTTCCTTTTGCAGTTAATAAAACCTAAGACCGTTCTAGTTTATAACTTTTAATGGGCACATTCTACTTGCTCAGAGGACCCCTGATGGATTTGAACATGTACAAGCCTTTTTTCTTAACAGTAAGTGTTCTTTCATATTCAAAAAGTTTTGAAAGGGATTCATTTGTCTACATGGTGTATTCAACTTTTTCCCTGGCAACCTCCTCCACCTCAGTTCTGCTTGGAAAGCTGTACCTAGATGTTGAGCGCAACACTCAAAAGCAGGAGGTGCCAATGTCAAGAGCAGTGAATGTATTTTGAACAAATTACAGCCTTCTAGGCAAGTCTGCTGCTGTTAAAGCTTCCTAATATTTGTTTTTTGAAACAAGCTTGGTGTGATTACCAATTCTGTTTACATACTGCATAATTAATTGGAAAATTTCCAGATAGTTCAGGGACTGATTAAGCTCCTGGCACAGGAGCTTTTCAGGATCGTCATCCATCATTTTTTGAAGGTAATCATTCTTCTACTCTGCTGAAAAGCAGCTTGAAATGTCACTTGGGAGAGCAGAACGGTTTATGAAGCAGTGCTGTGCACTGGAAATATGCAGGAAAAACAGATCCTGACACGCATGTCCAGATGAATGGAGGGGCAGAAATTGCTTGGTATCTTCCCATGGAGAAGAAAGGACTACTTTCCCTGTTGTTACTTTGAGATCAAGTAAGTTCAATTCATGCTGGATTGCTGGATGCTAGGTCAACAATGAAGGCAGAAGAAGCTTCCTTTTTCTTAGGTCTGAAGAACTCTTTCATTTCATTTTTAAGATGATTCTTTTTTTCCCCAAAGGGTTCTCTTTTGATTCCAAAGTATCTAAAGCCAGTAAGCACCAGCCCCTCTGCTGTATTGAGTGGCTTCTAGTGTGTCTAAGACCATTTGGATGAGTAGTGTCTGGGAATGTGTTCATTGCAAATTTCATAGCAGCATGCACTGGCTGAGTTGGGAAGCAGGGAAACAACTAGGAAATGAAACCTTATAATGTCAGTGCTGAAATACCACAGTCAAAACTTATAAAAGGACTTGGAGGAGTAGTTTGTTTTTCAGATTCTTTTGTGTTTTGCCAAATGAGGCCAGACACTTAAACTTATAAACTGCTTGTTTATACTGCTTTACAGGCACTTCTCTGGCTAAAATACTTTTGTTTCAGATTTTGTCTTTATCTGGAACAATTGTTAATGGTGTTACTAGTAGTCACTAGTAGTGCTGGTCCTGCTAGTACCTCTGAAATGATTACTGAAAAGTTAGCAGCATTGAAAACAAAATTGGTCAGGGACTTGAGTCAAAAATGTATTTCTTTTAGATGAGTGCAAGCAGTTAAGTGTAGTTCACCTGGATGAAAGAAAGGTTTGTAAAGGCATATTTTAATTCATGTCAGTGCTGAACTCTACCAAATGTTTCTGAGAAGGCGGGTATCATCAACTAGCCAGATGTACAAATATGCTGAATTCCCTTAGTACAGTGTGATACTTCAGAGTTTTTAGTATGTTAGCTTCAATTTAAAAAAGACCTGATTTGTTCAATGGCATTTTTAAGCTGTTTAGGTACTGAAAGTTTTGTCAGTCAATCAGATGACATTTTTCTTGTTTTTTTATCTAGAACACACTCATTCAGGGTGGAATAATTTTTCAGTGTCCCTGCATTTTCATAAGAGGGAGTATACTGCTGTCTACTTTGGAAACGGTTTTGATTCTAAACATCAGACTGCTATCTTCTGTGTGTGACAGAATGTTGTTTGGTTCTTGATTTAATACATGCAAAACTAGGAGAAGTGGATGATGTTTTATTTCCTTTCCTAAAGAAAGGAGAAGAGGAAAAACTGCATCTGAGTTTGAGGTTGTTCAGCTGAAAACAGTACTCAATATATTTTTCATCTTAGGTTGTGCTATATTTATATGGACGGTCTTTAAGTGGTGTTATCTTTACATGTATGGAAACTGACTTAGCCTGACCAGACCCTGGATAACCTAATCTGACTCTGCGTACAACCAGAATGTTGAATTAAATGTTCTCCAGAGGTCTCCATATAAAAATCCAGTCTAGATGTTTATAGGACTGTGTGGAAATCTCTGGCCACCTTGGTGGTTGCTTCCTGAGTGCTTTTTGAGTTGCAGGAAAGACAAAGTCTAAATAGTAGTTTCTTAGAAACATAAACTCACCATAAATGACAGACTTACTGAAATGTAGAAGTCATACCTTCTTTTTATTTGTGTAGTACTCCTTTATCTTCCAATGTCATTGTAATCAAATTTTTGCTCCTGAACTGAGATTGATTTGAATAATCACATATGCACTTTGTCTGCACAGTTTCTCACATGTACTGTATTGATATCAGCTCATCATCTGGAAAGTGGTTTGCTCACTGTGATACTTCTTTATTTGGAACAAAAAAGTTGAGTAGTCTCAGTGAGGTAAGATTTGTCTTTAAGGTCTGAAATTGTCTACTGTGTGCTAAAAAAGCTATTATCTCCTGTTCTCCTTAATGACAAGTATGCAGGTAACACTTCGTGGCCCATGTCACAACATCAGCAAAGTTGCAGTTTGAGTTCTGTCTTCTGGTAGCATTGTTTTCACTCTCACCCCTCACTTTTAAAACTTGACTAGTGACAAGATCAAAAAGGGTATTTATTTTACATGTCATTTTACTTTCTTTACTGTAATATGGTTCAGTATTTGCTGAGATGGTAATGGTAGTCTCTACTGTCAGTCATTTTGGGACTAGACCCTCCAGTCTCTGAAATACTAGTTTATCTTTGACCTGCTCATACTAGTATTGCTTAACCTGTTGTTAAAGGTGAAGAGAACCAAATACTTCCTGTTGTGTGATAACTCTACCAGTAGTCTGTAACAAAGTGAAATAAGATATGAAGGATTGATATAACCTTCTCCTTTGCAGCTTTAACTTTTCCAGTTCTCTTGTGTTGGAAGATTAGAAACATCTAAAACTTTTCTTGCTTTTGAGCTCTTTCTAATCTCCACTGTGATTTTTCTTTTTTGCTTCTCTCATGGCTGGCTCCATAAG